TAAAACAAGCGCTAAGAGCTTATATTTGCAAGAAGCTAATAGAAATCTAAAAAAGTTTTAATTTACAGTAAGATAGCAGAAAAAAATACAAAGATTCATAAAAATGTAGAAAACTGTTAGATTGAGCAGAACTCGGTTAAAAGAAGTGCTAAAAGCTTTTATTAGCAGAAAGAAGCTAATATAGGTCCAAAACTGTTTAGAAAATCTGTAAGAAGCAGAAAGATAACTGAAAAATCAGAAAAAAGCTGAAAGAAGGGAAAAAATAAATAGGGTTGAAGGAACCTGAAACTGGCACAAAGAAGCAGAAGAAATGGTGAAAATTCAGTTAAAGTTTTCTTAACATATTAAAAGTTTTTAAGGATGTGAAAATAACTCTTTTCACTTTAAATGAGAACAAAATGGAAGAAAAAGCTAAATAGATGAAAAAAGTACAAGATGCTGAAAAACAAAAGTCGTGGCACCCGTGGCATAAATGAGCTGAATGTTTTGATGTGTGATTTGTTGAAAAAGCACAAAAAAAGAGCTAGGTGCCAAAAAAACATAAAGAAAAATGGAACTCAGAGGTTTAAACTGCTTCATCAGATTCACACAATTCTAACTTTAYCAGTAAAAGGTGCTGGAACAGTCTGCTTTAAAACTGTTTAAATGAAATGATTTAAAACAAACAACAGATAAAAGCTATATGAATCCGTCTGGCAACAACAAACATCGCTGTAAACGCTCCAAAGTTTTATTCTGATTTGTTTCGTCTTGAGAGACGCTCGCCCACTCGGTGACACGGTCGATCTGAAACGTTCGCACTGAAACCAAACGTGGCTGCAAACGGACAGGTGGGACGCTGGGGACAAACCTACGGTGAGGCTGTGCAGCTGAACGCTGGTGAGCTCATACTGCAGCAACAAAAGGAACGGCTGGGCAGGAAAGAAAGAGTGAGGGGGGAAAAATGAAAAGAAGAGGAAAGCAGACAGATGTGAGGAGAAACTGAGGCGAATTTCAGCCGAAAAAGACAAAAAAAAAAGGTGACGAGAGGAAGGAAGGAAACTCGTGACGGACAGAGAAAAGAAAGAACGTAGGAAGGGAARGGACACAAGATGAATACAAAGAGAAAAAAGACTGAAAATGGAAACATGAAGATTAAAGTGGAAGAAGGAAAACTGAGGGAGAAGTAATAAAAAGGAAGAAGGAGACACAAAGAGCGACTCGTCTAAAGACCACATGGTCAGAATGGAGTCGATTTGAGCTGCTCTCCCTCCTTCGTTTGATCCCTCCGTGTCCGTCTCCACAGTGATTAATGGACCGGAGAGTTGTCACGGGAACAGCCAGGAGGGGGAATAACGAGGGGGGGCATCCTGACCGAGTGGAGAGGGAGGAGAGAGGGGAAGACCCCAAACCACAGCAGCACATAATTAAAATGGCTCCTCACACACACACACACACACACACGTTTCAACAAATCCAATAATGAAGAGCCTCCCCTGGTCTCCACAGAGACACACAGTTCACCAGTTCCTCCAACTTTTCATTCGCTTTTTGGCTGCCATCAAAGAGCCCGTATATAACCCAAGTTCACGTTTGTTTGCACGAGTGTGCGAGCAACTATATTTCTGCCTCACCTGCAGGCCAGTGAAGACACACCAGAGCTGACGGGGCCACGGCGGACGTGGAAAATTAAACTTTCCCGATTGAGAGCAAAATTATTCATTAAAATTAAACATTTGATTCGGCATRAGCCCTAAAATTTAATTACTGTTTCAATTAAAACTGGCAGTGAAACGGCATTTTAGGGCCGTAAACCCTGTAAACTCTGTAATAAAACCTGAAATAACGACAAACTCCTTCATGATTTCATAAAACAGGTTCGTTGTTGGTGTTGGGACACATTTTAGACACATTGAGAAACTCACATCAGTTTTCTAAGCAGKTTTTAACACCTGAATAATAAATATAGAAGTGGATCCATCACATTCAGATGGAAAAGATGGAGATGGGCTTTGAGCACCTGGAACTTACACCAAGTTCCCAGAGTCCCACAAACCTGAAATCACCAATTCATCCAAACTAACCGAACATCAGAGGGTAAAATGTTCTGTTACCAAACTGACTAATTCACACAGAGGAATATAAAGTGTACATTGTTCATAAAAAGCAAGAGTCAGTCTCAAACATGCTCTGAATGATTAGTGTTTTMTTCTGCCTCTGTAATCAATACATCCACCACTGATAACCTATTGTTCCATCTTCATCCAATCAGACACACTGTCAAACAAGCCAGGCCTTTCAGTTAAACCATGTGTCCGTGTGCACGAGATGTCTGTGTGCACGAGTTGTCTGTGTGCACGAGTTGTCTGTGTGCACGAGTTGTCTGTGTGCACGAGTTGTCTGTGTGCACGAGATGTCTGTGTGCACGAGTTGTCTGTGTGCACGAGTTGTCCGTGTGCACGAGTTGTCTGTGTGCACGAGTTGTCTGTGTGCACGAGATGTCTGTGTGCACGAGTTGTCCGTGTGCACGAGTTGTCTGTGTGCACGAGTTGTCTGTGTGCACGAGTTGTCTGTGTG